AGGACTATGGTATATAATTGTTTATGAGGTTTCAATTTCAGTACAACGTCAATCTTTTGAAAAGTTTTCATCATGTTTTTATAATCATTTATGTATACCAGATTTTTAAGTAAAAGAGCAAGAATAATATAGAAACTAATTAAAGTTTTAGAAATTAAGTCCATAATATCAATAGCCATATAATTTTTGGAGTCTTTAATATAGTATATAAAATCATTTATGGCATATGCAAACATTCCACATGCTGGCGAAATATACATGATAATCCAACATTTATGAAGGATTGGATGCTTATCAGTAAATTTACCTGGTAGCCATCCTATTACTTCCATTGTTTTAATAAAGATGTTATTCATTTTAAAGATTTTACTTGCGGTGAATACACAATACGCAATACTTGATCGAAGCGAATGAACAAAATTGAAGAGGTCATGGGTTTGACAAAAATTGTAACAGTTGCTAATCGGTCTATTTATCGTGTTATAAGGCAATTTATTATTTGTATGATGAACTGCTTTGTTGTATATTATTGGATTATGATTGGTATAAAGGAGTAGTGTATTAGTGGAAGAAAAATTGAATGTGTTAAATTAACAATTTATTTCTATTGTATTATTTGTTTGTATTTGGTTTGTTCCACCTTTAAAGCAACAGTTTTTCTATGGGTTTTAGACATAAAAAGTAGTACTTTAAATACAGGCAACCAAACCGTGACTAAAGTACTTTATTGACAAGTTTCAGTCACGGGGGGGAGCTTGCGTTTGCGTCCCCTTGGCTCCATTTGAAAATTGCACCACAACCACTATATAGTTTGTCATCATATTAAAAATAGTGAATATAGCTGCAAAATTAACACTATAAAAATTAGCGGCTGTAAATTCAGGCATATGTATAACACTGCACTGTGTTAAATGTGTCATATTTTTCGTCCACGCATCAGAAACCGCATGTTTCAAAGACAAAGACCCAGTTATTGCTTGATTGCAATTGGTAACCAGATGCTTTCCTTCATTAATTATAAATTGAGCATTGAATACAAAAACAAGCCACATTACCTAAAAATTAAATATTAAATTTGTCTTAAAACTTATTGCACTTGTTATAAAATACTCACTACGTAGAAAGCAGCGCTAAATAAATCAAAAGATATTTCGCTAGTCTCCATCTCAATTGAAACAATACGCAGCACAATGGACAAAAAATATAATATAAACGTACAGTTTAGGATTAAAATGATTGAGCCATAGAGTTTGTTAAGAATGTGATTGATTTGCACAATTTTCGTGTGTATTTTAAGTAATTCGATGATTTTTTTATCATCCATCATACTCGCACTTAAACTTTTCTTGTCAATTATTACAGAGGTTACATTCGTATTGATTGCAGTTTCATGCAATTTCAATATGAATTCATTTAAGATCTTTAGTCTCAATCGGAGTTCAGATAATATGTTGTATGCAACAATTATATCCATGACAGAAACATACTCTAACCAAGTTATTACAATATTGAAAAGCGGTGGAATATAAAATGATAATTGAATTTGAAAACGTAATATCAAATTCCCAATATATAATAAATGAAAAATCACAAATTTAGCTATCTCATATAATTTTTCAGGAGGCTTTGGTTTTAATACCATATCAATCTCTTGGAAATCTCTCATCATGTTTTTATAATCCTTAATATACACATGATTTTTATATAAAATACCAATCATAATGTTGATACCAACTAAAATGCATGTAGACATGTCCATGATACTCATGGTCATTAAATGTCCTGAGAATACACCAGTTTTGGCGCCTCGGATAAAATTATCCATGGTATATGTAATAATTCCACATACTTGACATATATACACGAAGGAACGAATTTTATGTAATATGGGATACCTATCACTAAATTTACTTGGAACACATCCTAATATTTTAGCTGTTTTTATAAAGATGTTATTCATTTTAAAGATTTTACGTTAAAACTTTACACTTGATCGCAGCAAATGATCAACATTGATTGTGTTGAAAGGTCATAAATTTGACAAGAGTGGTAGCAGTTGGTAGTTGTAAACATGCTTATTTATTGTGTTCCTTCACGCACAAACATTACGAGTATGTTATACATATTTGTTTAAAATATTGTTTCAGGGCAATTTAATATTCGTATGATGGGGTGTTTTGATGTATATTATTGAATTATGATTTTTATAAAAAGCAGTGTATTAGCTGCAGAAAAATCGTGTTTGTTGAATTAATAATTTATTACTAACTCGCAACTGCATGGGTAAACTTCGTATTTCGTTGAATTAATTATTAACTGAATAGGAAAGAAATGTATTTTTAATATTCCACTTTAAAGTCATGTAATTTCGTCTTTACTGTCGCCAATCAACAATAACCAATTAAACAACAACGCTAATCAAAAATTACAGTAAACTGTAGTATTTTATTATGAAAACTCATCAACATTTTCTAATTCTTACAACTTTCAATTACAATATAAACTAAACTAATCAGCCACCAATTTAATTACTGCCTCCTTTAGAAAATTGCACGACAACCACAATATATCCTGTCATCATATTAAAAATAGTGAATATGGCTGCAAAATTAACGCTATAAAAATTAACGGCTGTAAATTCAGGCATATGTATAACACTGCACTGTGTTAAATGTGCCATATTTTTCATCCAAGCATCAGAAACCGCATGTTTCAAAGACAAAGCAATAGTTGCTGCCTGAGTACAATTTGTAACCAGATGCTTTCCTTCATCAATTACAAATTGAGCATTGAAGACAAAAACAAGCCACATTGCCTACAAATTAAAATAATCATAGTTATTTTAAATAAACTTAATAAAAATTTAAGAAATACTCACTACATAAGAAAGAGAACGTAACAAAATAAAATAAATTTGGTCTGTTTCCATGTTGGTTGAAACAAGGGTTAGCACAACTGACAAAAAATTGATTATAAAAATACAGTTTAAGAATAAAATACTCGTGCCATATAGCTTGTTAAAAATGTGAATAATCCGCACAATTCTCGTGTGTGCTTCAATCAATTCCATAATTTTTTTATCATACATCATTCGTGAATTCTCTTTGAAAATTGTCACGGTGGTAACATTCACATTGATTTCAGATTGGTGCAATTTCAATATGGATTTATTTATGTTCTTTAGTCGCATTCGGATTTCGTTTAATATAACATGCGCAACAATTATATCCAAGAAAATCATATAGTCAAACCAGCTCATTATTATAACCAACAGCGTTCCATGATTAACAGGTGCAAGAATTATATAACGAAATATTACAAATCCAACGTACGATAAGTGAATTATAACATACTTCACCAAAACCACACACAATTTCTCTGACGGTTTTTGTTTTCGTATATCATCAATTTCTTCAAAAGATCTTGTCATTCTTCTATAATCTTTGATATACAGAATATTTTTAAATACAATGGTGACCATGATATTTAAACCAAATAAAATATATGTAAGTAAGTCAAACACAAAAATTGCAATATAATTTCCAGAAAAATCAACAGTATTGGCGTTTTTGATAATAACCACAATAGGATATGATATAACCCCACATAACATTGAAAGATACATGAACGACCAAGTTTTATGCAATATAGGATGCCTATCACTAAATTTACTTGGCAATAATCCTATTATTTCCGCAGTTTTAATGAAGATATTATTCATATTAATTTTTTTAAATTATGTATTAAACTTGATGCTCAATAAAAATAAAAACGTTCTATTTGTGTTAAACGGTCACGACCTTTACAATAATAGTACAATTGCGAAGTGGTCAGTAAATGGTTACATACCAACCTATTTGTTGTGCGCCTGCCTGACCAAATTATTTACATTTATAATAAATAATAATAAATGGAAATAATATTTAGGAGAATGAAATATTTGTACCATAAACGGTTTTATTGTATGTTATTTTGTTATAAGTGAAATGAACGTAGTTGTGCATTATTTACGGCAAAATAATGTTTGTTAAATTAATAATTTATTAAATAATACATTCGGGGAATGTACGGGGTATAGTTATAAAGTTATTTAATTGAATAAGCGAATTATTTAAGGTTTTAGTATGGATTTACTTAAACACAATCCAACAAGTTATTAATTAAAGAGTAATCGTGAAGAAAACATCAATTTTATTTCTAGAAAATGATAAATTGAATAGTATTTTAAGAGTTTTTGTCATGAGATTTATTCAGATCGAGCGTAGCAAGCGTTCAATCAATCGAGTGTTTAACAATGTTTAGCCACATGATGAGGTAAATAGATGATATTTATTACTTGTATTACTTGTAAAGAATTGTAAAAAGAAGAATTTATTATGTTTCTCGTGTGTAGGCATTTTAAATAGAAGTTGAACTTTAAGAACATACAAATTTTTAAAGTCCCAATAGTTTAATAGTTGATTGACAAATCAAAACTCAAAACAGTCGGTGACCCGGTAGGAAGTCGCCCGACTCGCGAGGCCATTTCGCGCATCGTTAAAGAAGGTTGAAAGTGGAATTTTACTCGTAAAGCACCGAAAACTACGAGCTACAACACATCCAAACACAAACAACATCTTTGATAAGCCAGCCAGTCAATACTACGAGTATACTACCAAAACACACAACCTTGAAAACAACTCTAAAATATTTCTCTATGAACAGATGAACACCTATATATGCCATTTAATTTAAATGAACTGCTGCTTGTTAAACCGTCATTTCATTTAATATTGACCCAAACTAAAGTTTTTATGCCATTTGAACGCACTTTACAACAACAAAAAAAGCACGTGTGTTCTCTAATTACTCTACAAATTACATGCATGTATTGTGCATTGGATGCAATTATACACGAAGATCGACACGCACATTTGTTCAATTGGTATTATCAGGAAGCGCGAAGGCGAGTCTATTAAGTCAACGTCGACGTCGAATGCGTGTTCAAAGCACGTTCGCAAAACTTAATGAGCGTTTAATTGTTAGTTACGCGATGGTGGTGCATCGAAACGCCGAATATGGCGAGCGTCCGAACACTTCATTCACTTTCAAACACTGGCAATTCGCGAACACACGTTGAATTTTTTTTGTGAAATTACAAGTTATTAATAGTGAAATTAGTGAAATTTTAATAAAATGCGTGAAATTGTTATTTAAGTATATGAATATTTATTTTGTGAATATTGTGTTAGTTTATCATCAAGATGGTTAAAATTTCACCTGATCTTACCTTCGAAAATTTAACTTTTTCGATTTGTAATCGCACAGGTAAATAAACATTAATTCTTTTCATTGTTCATTGTTCATTCATTGTTCATTGTTATTGTAAAATAAAAAAATTGTAATAATTAACAATCAATATTGTTAATTTATTAAATTTTAGAGTAATTTTCTGTAAAATTGCTTTAATTTCATTAAAAACACTTTAACTGCCTTGATATTGAAGAAAAATTTAAATTTTATTGCCAGATTTAGGTTTAATTGCCGTTTTGATTAATTTAATAATATTTGAACATAATTTCTGTAGGTATTTTGTCATTTGCACCCGACAAATTAATCAAATTGTTATTTAATATTCAATTAACTTTTTTGCACCATCAGTGTGTTTATTTGAATGAATAACGATCGCACGCAAGGTTTTCCCGATGTGTGACGTCTTTCCAACTATTTATTGACATCAATTTTACCAATTAGTTGCATAGCAAAAATAATATATTTTTAGGAATATTCCATCAACGCTTGTTTTCTATACTTTGTAAAATTGAAAAAGCAAAATCATGTTTACAACTGTCTAGTGACGAGAAAATTATTACTAACATATTTAAAATGTAAATTAGTATATAATTAACATTAAAATATTATATTTTTTTAAATGTATAGGAAACAAAACAATATTAAATAATATAAGTGGGACATTTCCATCCGGAAAATTAATTGGAATTCTTGGTCCATCTGGAGCAGGGAAAACCACTCTGTTAAACATCCTCAGCGGATGGGACCATCACAGTAAAATTTCAGGCAGTATTAAAGTGAATAATAAAGAACGACAACTGCAAGATTTCAAGAATATTTCGTGTTATATCACTCAGGATAGTCATTTGATTAATATTTTAACAGTGGAGGAGAATTTAAAATATGCTGCTGATTTGAAACTGGGGCCTGGAATATCAAAAACAACGAAACAAAAAATTGTAAGTTAAAATTAAAAAGAAAAAAATTAATTAATAGCTATATACATTCAACCATACGTTTAAACATTACAGATAAATCAAGTTGTAAATAGTTTTGGTCTTGTTGAACACATAAAAACAAAAACAAGTAAACTTTCTGGTGGTCAACGCAAAAGATTAGCAATTTGCTTAGAGTTATTAAAGGATCCTGATATTATCTTCCTTGATGAGCCTACTACGTAAGTTAACCTGTCAGTTTATAGTTTTTATAGGTTATGTGATGTTATTAACCTTGCCTGACAACTATTTATTTTATTTATTTTGATTTAAGAGGTTTGGACATTGTCTCAATGTCGCAATGCGTGCGTTACTTGAAACAATTAGCTGAAAAAGGCACGACAGTAATTTGCACCATGCATCAACCTCCAGGGAATGTAGCAAAAATGTTTGACATTGTTTATATTGTCGCACAAGGTCAATGCGCTTTCCAGGGTGGTCCCCAGGAGTTGGTTACGTTTCTGGCTGATACAGGCGTGCCTTGTGAGATATTTCACAGTCCACTTGATTATAGTAATTTCTTGCTAAATATTTTGTTATTTTTTATGATATTATTGATAATTTTTAGTCATTGAGATAGCTAATAATGATTACGGTCCGAAAATATTGGAAACTTTATTGGACACATCTCAAAATGGTAAAAATCACGCTTATATGCCATTATTGAAGTCAAAACAGACACAAACGAATGATTCTATTCGTAAAACAAGAAATATATTCACAAAATGGAATGATTATTCATTTACGGATGATGTGTATGAGTTTAGGACGGTTATGAAGAGGGAAGTTGTAAAACTAGGACGAGACTTGGTAATTATTTGATTTAATGAAATAATTATTATATTTTATATGTTGAGTTAAATTTGTAGTTTTTGACTTATTTGAAAATTGCCGGCATCTTGCTCTGCAGTATAATGACTGGACTCGTGTGTTATAACATGGGCGGTGATGCCACCATGTTGTATTTTAACTATAATATGGTGTTGTTGCACATTTCAATTGTGGCGCTTTCGTTTTCGATTCTTACGACTGTTGGATGTGAGTTACGCTCAAAATTGTTAAATAACTATTTGAAATGTTTATCTTTAACTATCTAAATTTATTTCCAGTTGTTTTAAATCAGAAAGTTGTTCGTAATGAATACGAGAATGGGTATTATTCCATACGGAATTACTTTTTGACAATAACCATCTTGGATTTACCAGTAACTGTATGTATTGTGTTTATATATGCTTGGGTTTTTAATTTTTTTCTTTTTGTTTACTTTTTAGATTTTTGCGGTTACAGTTAGTACTGTTTTGATGTATTGGCTCTCTGGACAATATATGACTTATCATCGAATTTATATGTTCACTTTTATATCGATTGAAGTGGCAATCGTTGCCAGTGCAATCGGTTCCCTTTTTGGAACGCTTCTTAATTTAAATGCAAGTATTCATGTAATATTACAACATTCTGTGTATGATTGGTTGCCTATATCACACCTCCGCATAGTAATATTACTATAAGTAGAAATATATAAGTAATTAAAGTAAAATACAGTTTAACTAACATATATTACTTGTAGCATGCTGTATTTGTAACTTCGGCCATCCACATTCCAATCTTCGTAGTATCTGGTTATGGAATTTCGATGACGGATATGCCTCGCCATTTTTATTACCTCTCTCACCTGGCGTACACTAGATTTGCTGTTCGTTCTATGATGGGTGTTGTTTTTGGTTATGACCGACCACTGGCTTATTGTCCCGATGAAGCAGTGTACTGTCACTATCAGAAATCAATTATTTTTCTAAACGAGATGGGCCTGGAAGACTATTTCTTCGTGTACGACGCCATAATTTTGCTGGGATTCTATTTGTTCTTTAGATTTTTGACGTACTTGGCTGTTCGGTATCGATTAAAGAGTGGCGTTTACATTGATTAACAGCATTTCAATCAATGTATTATTTATTTGTGGTGTAAGATTAAATAGTATAGGTGTATATAAAATAGAATATTGAAGGCGAAAGTACTTTTGGTGGATATTATTAATAGTTTAAGTATTAGGTTATGTATTTTCGATTATGTGGGTTGTTCAGTATGTAAAAAAAACACGTGCCAATCATTTCTTTTTTATGTTTGCATTTTACCTATCCTATCTTATAGAGAATAGTCCGTAGATTAAGACGCTGCGATCAGATCCTATTTTTCTTTTTTAGTTTACGAGATATTCGCGATTGAATAAAATGGGCAAAAATTGCTAAATGTCACTTTTTAGCACTTTTAGTCGCGTTTTTTGACCTTTTACGGTAGGAAATAAAATTATTTTATATTTTTACCTGTTAGAGAATTTTTCAATCTTTCATAATCAACAATTCGTTGGTAGCTATCGCTTTTAGTTTAAGAGATATGAATTATCAAAAATCGTCGAAAAAAAGTATCAAGCACCCCCCCTTGGCAATTTTTCTTAAGACTTAAAATTTTATCTCTCAGATTTCCCTTTTAACTATCCTATCTGATAGAGAACAGTCCGTAGATTAAGACGCTACGATCAGATCTTAATTATCTCTTTTAGTTTACGAGATATTCGCGATTGAATAAAATGGGCAAAAATTGATAAATGTCACTTTTTAGCACTTTTAGTCGCGTTTTTCGACCTTTTACTGTAGGAAATAAAATTATTTTATATTTTTATCTGATAGAGAATTTTCCAATCTTTCATAATCAACAATTCGTTGGTAGCTATCGCTTTTAGTTTAAGAGATATGAATTATCAAAAATCGTCGAAAAAAAGTATCAAGCACCCCCCCTTGGCAATTTTTTCTTAAGACTTAAAATTTTATCTCTCAGATTTCCCTTTTAACTATCCTATCTGATAGAGAACAGTCCGTAGATTAAGACGCTGCGATCAGATCTTAATGATCTCTTTTAGTTTACGAGATATTCGCGATTGAATAAAATGGGCAAAAATTGATAAATGTCACTTTTTAGCACTTTTAGTCGCGTTTTTCGACCTTTTACTGTAGGAAATAAAATTATTTTATATTTTTATCTGATAGAGAATTTTCCAATCTTTCATAATCAACAATTTGTTGGTAGCTATCGCTTTTAGTTTAAGAGATATGAATTATCAAAAATCGTCGAAAAAAAGTATCAAGCACCCCCCCTTGGCAATTTTTTCTTAAGACTTAAAATTTTATCTCTCAGATTTCCCTTTTAACTATCCTATCTGATAGAGAACAGTCTGTAGATTAAGACGCTGCGATCAGATCTTAATTATCTCTTTTAGTTTACGAGATATTCGCGATTGAATAAAATGGGCAAAAATTGATAAATGTCACTTTTTAGCACTTTTAGTCGCGTTTTTCGACCTTTTACTGTAGGAAATATAATTATTTTATATTTTTATCTGATAGAGAATCTTCCAATCTTTCATAATCAACAATTCGTTGGTAGCTATCGCTTTTAGTTTAAGAGATATGAATTATCAAAAATCGTCGAAAAAAAGTATCAAGCATTATTTTATAGGGAACTAGCGACCTGCCCCGGCTCCGCACGGAAGTAAAAAACCGCATCAAAATCCGTTGCGTAGTTTCAATGATTTAAGCATACAAAGAGACAGACAGAGAAAGCGACTTTCCTTCTCCAAACAAAAACATCAACCGGTCAACTTCAACCCACACGTACGCACATACACACGTCTATGCTTGGAGGGGGAAGCTACGAAGCATCGCACAAAGAGCAGACGGGAATAATCGTAAACTTTGTATTTACATCACATTAGAAATCTCAAAAATAACAGTACTTCTCCACTATTTAATGGATGTTATTATACATACAAACCTTCCTCTTGAATCACTCTATCTATTAAAAAAAATGGTTGTTTGTAAAGTAGGTTTACGATCGAGATGTTTACGTGATAACGTCTTATTGGTGATATAAGTTTTGTTTGTTGCAATTGTTGTAACACTTCACTTGCGCTTCACATTTTGTTTTACTGTTAAACATTCAACGAAAACTTAACCGCACGAGAAAATCTCCATTCGTTTGTATGCCGCTAGAGTGAGAGAGACGGAAGATCGGTCAACTCACTCGAACGCTATGCCTGCCTCCGCTCGTGTGGATTCCGCGTCAAAAGTTTCACGGAATGACTGGCAGCGCTCGAGATGAGACGGGAGATCGGTCCGTCTCTCTCTCGTTATAACGAGAGGGGGGTATACCTGCGATCGGCCTCGAGAGGCCTCGTGACACAGTTTCTGAACATGTCACCCGACTAAAACGATTTTAAAGACGTTATCACGTCAAAAAACGGCATCAAAATCCGTTGCGTAGTTTCAAATATTTAAGCGAACAAAGGGACCGAAAAAAAAAGCGACTTTACTTTATACTATGTAGTGATTTTCCATGGATTAAGACTCTGCGATTTGTTCGTTTCGATTTCTTTGAGTTTACGAAATATTTGCAATTGTAAAAAATCATATGTGCAGTTCACACGCGGTAGAAGTGAAACCTTCAGATAATTTTTCTGCCGATAAGTGTCGTGAATATAATATAAATAATATAATATTAGTTTTTGGCATATTGTAAGATCGGCTTGTGGCAAGCTACGAAGCATCGCACTAATAGGAGACGAAGATAATAGGAAACACTGTATATTTGTGTTCTCGTATTCTCTCGCAGGCTAAACTACTAAAAATCAATTCCAAATAATAAAAAATTTATATAAAATATATAATTATACTTTTCCAGATGCATAGCCACAATTAAATTTAATTTGATCATTATTTTGTCATTTATAACTTATTTGCATCCAAAATTTATTTGTATGCACTTCCAATGTATAATAAGTACAAAAAGTTTGCGCGACTCATTCTGGTGTAGACAAAAAACAAATCATAAAACAATGAAATACGAACATGCCATAAGAAAATGTTTGGACATCAAAACCTGTTTTGTAAGAGTAAAAAGCATAAAATCGAAGGAAATGTCAAGATGCAGTTAGTTATTCAAGTGAAAGTGCTTCTTACGCTACTTATACACTGCAGTGGTCATGAATTGACCTCAATTAATTACTTTGTCACTTTGCGTCGCCAGTTCAAGCGCAAAACTACACAACACAACGTCAGCTTATACGAGTATAAACATTATTTCACTGGTTGAATTGACGTTGAGTGTTGTGTTGTTCTCGTTAGCGAGCTTATGATTACAACTTATTTCATATATTCCTCAGTTGCGCGTCGGCTATCAGCCGGATTTGTGTACAAATCAGCACTCCAGTCTGATATCAACGCTCACATGTTACTATTTGGCCTTCTAAATAAATAAAACATTAATTCATTTCAAAATGACGGCGCATAACATCACATCGTTTGGAATTTGTTTTAAAAACCTTAAATATCGAACAAAAATTGGATTAAAACGTGGTAAGTTTTTTAACATCCTTATCAGTACAATTTTATCAATTGAGTTAAAATTCTTTTAGAAACAAAAGAAATATTACATGGTTTAAGTGGTATTCTACCTGCTGGCGCCTTTACGGCAATTTTGGGCCCTTCAGGTTCTGGTAAAACAACTTTATTAAATATTGTTGCTGGATGCATAAATTCTCATCATGGAGATGTTGAATTTTATGCAAAAAAGATTTGTATACCTCAACAACAAATAAATCCAGATGTTTTACCATCTTTTGAAAGTGAATATGTAGAGAGACTGATAGGTGAAGAAGTGAAATGTGAAAATGCTGTGGTGACCTACATACCACAAGAAACACACTTGAGTTGTCTGTTGACAGTTAGTGAGACTTTTCAAATAGCTGCTGAATTAAAATTGCCGAATTATAAACAATATAAAAAGGTGAAGTGAAAAATAAAATAAAACACTTGGTTGATATTTTGGGTTTAAATAAAGTGCTTGATACGAGAGTATCGTGTATTTCCGGTGGGGAAAAGAAACGACTTGCGATAGGTATTGAATTATTAAGTGACTTTGATGTGATATTATTGGATGAACCAACGACGTAAGTAATACTAAAGTCATTTTATTGCTTTGTTTGTCTGGAGATAAATTGTTGTTGAATAATAATTAAACAAAATGCAGTTTTATAAAGTAAATGTCTTGAAATTGACTTACAATTTGTTCTTTTTGTGTTTTTTATAATAGCTGCTAAATTTCCCAAATGGCTGAAGTCCAATAAGTTGCATAACTCATTTTTTATTTTATTTCTATAAAAACTAAGAAAGCAATCATTAATTTAAATATAATTAATAGTAAAATAACTAGTAAAACTAGCACTTGTAACAAATTGCTATGATAATTAATTGGGTACTTGTTAAATTATATGCTATTTTTTAGTGGTTTGGACAGTGCATCGTCACAAATTTGCATCGATTACTTAAAATCATTAGCCGTTAATGGAAAAACTGTAATTTGTACAATTCATCAACCATCGGCGACTGTTTTACAACGTTTTGACCATTTGTACGTTCTATCCGATGGTTATTGTATATACCAAGGACCCAACAATAATCTGCTCAATGTTCTTGAAGAATATGATATGAAATGTCCATGTTATCATAACCCAGCTGACTTTAGTACGTATTTTAAATGCTTTATTTTGTTGCACATCTAATCATAACATTAGGAGATGTATGACTTTTATATAGTTCATGACGTGGTATTTAGATGGCGTTAGTGTTTCAAATAGACAGTAGTTTAGGTTAAAAATTAATAATGGCCATTTGTTCTATAAACTACTATCATTAATATTGTACTATTTGGTGTGGTTTTTATTTACAGGCTTTATTTAATGACAAGTTATTACTTGACAGCTTTTCAACAACCACGTGATGAGGTAACCTAAAAATCAATTCAATCACATCATTAAAATGCATTTTTTATGAGCTTGTAGTGTAAATTTTATGATTGTAATGATTTAACTACCTTGTTTAATTAATTATTAATATTTAAAACACGTTTATTTTAAATTGCAGTAATTGAAATTGCGTCCGGAGATTATGACAATAATGAAACAGGAATTAAAAGTAAATTAATTGAGAATTTCAACAACATTCCCGAAGTGAAGACACAAACATGTTGTAAATTACAAACAAAAAGCACTAGCCATCAATATGCAGCGACATCTACCACACAATTAAGCATATTAATGAGAAGAGAATACTTAAAAGCTATTCGAAATCCAGTGAGATTATTTATTTATATTTATTTAAACTTTTAATTACTAATTCTATGCTTTTGTTCATAGACATTGACATATTTAAGATTAGCTACCAGTGTTGCCAATAGTTTAGTCCTCTGCGCCATCTTCTGGAAAGTATCAGAGGATATAACCAAAGTTTGGTTCAACTACAACGCCATCTTAGGTTTTGTTCTACATTTAATGATGCCATCTTTAATGCTCACCATTCTAACCTGTAATTAAAAACTATTTACAATCACAAATAATCTATGTATTTAATCAATGTTCTTAATTACATGTAAATGTTGCAGTTCCTTGTGAATACGCTGTTATAAAAAGAGAAAGCATCAATCGCTGGTACTCGTTAAAATGGTACTACGCGTCTGTCACGCTAATAGACCTGCCTATTTGTGTAAGAAGACACAATAAAATTTAAATATCTACAGCTAATGAATAATAATCACACATATGACTACGTGTTTATTTTTAGATAATTTATTGTCTCGTGTCAAACGCTATTTTTTATACGTTAACCGCGCAACCTTGGGAGTTCTGGCGTTTTGCCTCATTCACAGGATTGGGTTTCTTAATATGTATTATTGCGCAAAGTTTTGGATTACTGGTTGGGTCATTACTGAATGTCGTCGTATGTTAAACATAATAATAATATATTTTATTGTTAAAAACATTTTTATATTTTCTTGTTTTTAGAATGGAACTTTTGTTGGTTCGGCAATATCGTTCCCGATGATGTTATTTGCTGGTTTTGGGATGACTTTTAAAGATATTCCTTCGTATATACGATGGATCGGACATTTTTCTTACCTTAAATATGGCGTCGAAGGTATGGCGGCTAGTGTGATGGGGTATAACCGAACTGATTTGTTTTGTCCGAAAGATGTGGTTTGTTTGTATAGTGATTCACAGCAGTTTTTGGATGATATGGGAGTGGCAAGTGATCAAATATTTTTTGATTTTATTGTTTTGATAGCATTTTTTGTTGGATTACGCGTTGTGACTTATATTTGTTTGAGTAAACGTGTTTTTTGCAAAACATAATTAATGTGTGTTGCAAGTACGGCCATTAACACATTTAAAAAAATTGTGATGTTATGTTATTAGCTTAAACACGCGATTTCATCCGCGTTGATTTTAATAAAAATAAGTCTGACTAATTATTATCATGTTTTTAGACTAGTTATATGCTGATCTTGCCAATAAGATGCAAAATATAATTTTAAATAATAACAAATACTAATAATGCACTTTAACGCCATTTTGATCTGAATTCTATAACTATAACTATGAGTATATCTCCATATAAACTTTCAACTCGTATTTAACACCTTTCAAGTTAAATTTTTGCAATAAAAAGTAGCCTATATGTTTTTGCATGATTAAAACTAGCTTTATACCGAAATTGATCAAAATAGCTTCAGTAGTTTTTGCGTGAAAGCGTCACAAACATACAAACAACTACACATGCGGAATTTTAATATTATTTAGGATGTTACCTTGATGAAACAACCAGTAACGATCAAATCATTTTTATGATGAAAGTGAAAGAAATATTTGAATGCTCATGTGACAATAGCCCTTTATGTAAGTATATATTTCCAGAAAAATTATAATTACAATTATCTGATGTGTAATAGATGCTTTTCTCATACTTATACATTTACATAATATATAGTTAGATTTATTTATATATGTATAGACAGATTATACTTGTTGTTGAATACTGTTATCTTCCAGGTAAACTTTCAAAATACAATTAATGTTATGCTATTAGTTGTGATGCCTTCGATTCTCTGCACAGTTTTATACATTTAGTCAATGTCGTCTTCCTAAATTTATATTAGTCTCCATTTTTCATTGATAAAATTAAAATTTAAAAAATTAATAATTAAACATTAGTATCGTAAACTTATTACAAACTTATAACATAAATTATTATTAAACAGAGTAAATGATGATGAAAGTTTAATTTTGATTGAACTACGTTAACATTGATTAGGCTTAAACTTTAGATTGATTCATCAAGTTATGATACAATGATAATTGCGCAAAGTTTTTCTGGTAGGTACATACTATAAAGACTTTTCACAAATATATGATTGAAAAATAGCATGAGTAAATTGTTTTAATCAATTAAGAAAATATTTGACTGCTAATGACCGAAAGTTTTTTTTTCAATTTTTGCAATTTTTTCTTTTCTTTTGTTTAGTACATGAATAGACAAAATAAAAATATTCTTTTTGGATGCAATTTATTCTAATCTACCTGAAACAAAACAAATTTATTAGGTTATTTAGTTTTTATTTTGTTTATGAATAACGTAATATATTAATTTCAATTTCAAACTTTATATTTCGACACAAAGTTTAAAATGGAAATTAATAATTAAGAATTATACTTTGTAGAATTTTAAAAATTTAGTTTTCGGTCACGTTTGACTGCAACGATACCAATTTGTTCCTGAACCACAAAGATTACTAGAGTGGTGAAGTGAACACAAAGTGTAACACCCAAGAATTCGTGATTTACCCGCTGAAAATCTAATAAAAACTCCCCGTGACGCGCTGCGCCCGAGGCGCGTGTCTATCTATCACAAATTGCCATCAACCATCAACAATCTGTTCAAAATAGAAACCAATCTATCAAACTTGAAAAAATATTTAACTTTAATCCATCAAAATTTAAAAACAAAAATATTAATAAAAAACTATTATGATCATAAACACATTGTATATGCCTATGTATAAAACTATGTATGATAGAAGATATTCTCTACTAAGATAGAATAACACACTTGTGTTGTAGGTAAAAGGGTTGAAAAGGAAAGGAAGTGATTCGATTACGCACCTATTGGCTTCCCATTCATGCGGCGGTTTTTGCTTTTCGTTGGGCATTAGTTTTTGGGGGTGTGTGGGTGGCGACGTGCTGCGTTGCGGGTGGCAGGCGTCTATTGTGCCTTGTCCGCCACACTCCGCTTGCCCCAGATGCCCTTCAGGTTGGTCCAGGCCGGATCACGCTTGCCCCACGATCCTGCAAGAGTGTATCCAAATTAGAATCGGGGCGCAATCCAATTAATTCACTATACTCGTAACACTCGCCCGAAACAAATTACACAAAGCATACAAAAAGCTAGTGATAATTATCGGCGAGCGAAAAAAAAACTTCCGGGATGCTGATGACCTAGATTTGCAACTGCCAACAAGGGGGGAAAGCGATTGCATTATTGGAATTGAATATTTTTTGTGTGTTGATCCAAGTGGGAGAATGGGGAACTAATAAGTTACTAATGCTTGGTAATGCAGTTAGCTGAGTTTGTGCACGTGGCAAATAGAGGATTTTGTAATTCCAATGGGATTTGTTTAATGGAAGAGTTCATAATCAACTATAGAGTGGAATAAAATAGAAATTTTAGAGGAAAGCAATATAGTATGTTGGTGACGCCACCTGGTGGATCTTACTTTAGACAGCTGGGATGGTTTCCTAACCTTCAAAAATTGTATTTAAGCGGTAAATTTAAATTTAAAAAAAAAGTTGAATTATCAACTATTATATTATATAAAAGGCACAAAACATCATTTTTAGTGATTAAACATGAGGAATTTAATGTTATTTTGCCTAAAAACAAACATAAAATGAATTAATTGTGTAGTTCTCAGAAACGCCACCGCGCGCGGCTGTTTGGTGAGTTATTTTGACAAATGACAGTCATGAATCTTTCCGTCCGATTTTTATTTATTCATTTTTGAATCCTGCAGAAGATTTTTGTGATTTTTGTAATTTTTGTAATGAATACTTAAATAGCTGTAAAAAATTGTGTATATAATTGTGATGAAGGTATATTAACTACGAATGAATGAGTTTCTCCTCAATTATTCCACCTAACAAACACACTAATTCAATTACAAATGTGCAGCCACTTAGCAACCAAAACTTGCACGAAGTTCAAGCAAATATAGAACTAAATGTTATACAAACTTACCTCTGAAGCTGCCCCATTGTGCAGCGCGTTTGCCCCATCCAGCATTATTCAGTGATCGCCAAGCACGCTTCTCGTCATCGTTGCTTCCGTAATCCGCCATCTCGCCATCGGAAAGTCCATTGTAGCTGACGGCATCGTTGTAATCCGCCAAACGTTGCTGCAGTTCTTCATCGGAGAGCAAAGCGGCCAATTTCGCGGCGTATTCTTCATCGGTAGCAAACCTCTTACCCCATCCTCCCTAAAAATTTCATCAAAATATAAAATAAAACGTATTTGAATGCAGATAAAATAAAAAAGAAAATTGATTTATTGAAAGAGATTTATCTTGGATAATTACGGTTTAAATTGATTGCAAATAGCAAGCGTAAAGAGTTGTCCGGATAAAAAGTCACTGCTATTTGTTGCTGTTTGTTTAGAGCGCCCGAAGAAAATTAAAATAAACACGAAAAACGTTGAAATTGTCGACGCGGGGTGTAAACACACGCAAATCGATTTCGATTCATCGAAATAAAATAAAATTGGAAAGTCTTTAAAACCTTCTTTTCGTTCACAAGCAAACATTTACTCTCCGCCAGCTTACATCTTCGTTTTGCTAAATAAAAAGGATTGAATCATTGAATGTGTGTGTGTGGTTGTGGTGCTTTGGAGCGTTGGAAAAAATAAATTACTAGGCGATTAAACGTCACGCGCAGCGCGCAATAAACGAGCAGGTGGGGCAGATGGCAGAAGGGCGCGCGCGAGTTTAATTCGGCAATAATTTAAACGCCAACCTGTAGATTCTGCCAGGCGCGCTTGTCGCTGCTCATGTATAGTGGGTAGCTGTTGCTCGGCCCCCAGAGGTCGCGCTTGCCCCATCCGCCCTGCAGATTCTGCCAGGCGCGTTTTCCCCAGCTGTGCATCATGCTGGGATTGCCTTTTGCCCAACCACGTTTAGACATCTCCAACTGCAATCATTAAAACACAGAAATCACAATTTAACATAGTGTGAAATCGAGTGATCACGCCGCTTGTCAACATTCGTGCAATTGTATCGGCGACATGGAGACGCGCGCAATTTCTATGCAAATGCATGCAAATCGCGTTCGTTTGTCATCATTCACTTTATTCGAGGATAAAATTCGGGAGCAGTTTTGTTTATTTATTACCTACGTGATATTCTCGACATTAACGAGCGGGGATGGTGCATTGCCCAATTAATTCAAATTCAGTTTCAACCGAATATTAAACGATGTTTCATCATGTTACGCTGCACCTTAATATCAATTTACATATTTTTAATGACCGCAAATTATGCCCGAATTTAATATGCACCTTTAACCTGACGTGCGAGCGTTGGATGGAATTACCTTTTGGTTGTCTATCATCCATCAGTGCACTAATTTAAGCGTATACGAAGAAATCTGACTATTAATTAATTCCTCGAATGCATATTGATTATTCAACGTAACGCATGATAGAGTTTGAATTTAAATTTAAATTTTATTGTGGGTGATGTATGGTTACCTGGTCGTTTGCTTCGGATTCTTGTTTTGTCGCATCTTCGGAGGCTAACGCGAGTCCTGCGCGCAGACAACAGAAGATTACGACTACTCCGATGAGAGTTTTCGTGCTGGACGTTACTGCATAGCGCATTATTCCTGGAATTAAATATGTGCTTGAATATATTAAATTCCTAAGTCAAAATTTTAAAAACTAAAAAAACTCGAGAACGGTTTTGCCGATTTGGTTGATTTTGGTTTTTAATTATTTGTAAAAGTCAAAGAAAAGTTTAAAACGTGAGGAAATGCAAAGAAAATGCCTGGAAAATAGTGATAACAACAATTTTAATTTATTTATACAAGCTGTTCATGCCTGTGCAGCCTGTTTGAAATTAATTTTGTCATAAAATGCCTAAAAATTAACTTCGAAATCAATTTCTTCACTTTTTTGTTTCTTTTTGTTATAAAAATATAACTTTAAGAGTGAAATATCTGAGATTAGTGTTGATATTACGACTTAATCGTTGTTAAAGTTATATAATTTAAATGTAGATGGCAGTAAAGTGCATTTTAAACATTTTTATGTTAAAACTAAAATTTATGTTGTTATTGACGAAATGTAAACGAAACAAACGTCGAGAAACAAGATAGCAGTCATTTATCTACTTTTTATTTAACTCTACACACCCAATAATGCAGGTAAAAGTTAATATTGAACTAAAAATAAAAATATTTCTAACATTATACAATTTTGTACACACAATGTGTCATGTACTGGTGTTAAAACTCCCCCGAGTCTCAGTTTTTATTAAACACCGAACAGGATGTTTGCTTCGAGTATCCTTTTTGCTTTCGCAACGTCCCACGCGGTATTTTATACATGTGTCTATAATATATGTGTCTATCGTAGCTAGATATAAACTTTTTTCGTGCGCTTTTCACCTTTTCCGCACCTTGGGTACTTTTTTCTGCTTTTGCGCCTATATTCTTTATTTGCTCGCCCTCTTGTCACACTTTCAACAGGTGAGTTTTACGGCTGTTCGGCTTTATGATGTCGAATGACTGACACAACTGACACTTTACGCCAGTCCTCCAGCCGCTTTTCTGGGGTCGTTATCTCGCGTGCATCCTGTCTACGGTTCTCCAAAAAGTGTGGAAACTTGAAAGATGATGTTGAAAATGTGTAAAAAGAGTCAAGGGAGCAAAATGAGAATGTGGAATCGTCTCAAATGTTGTTAAAGAAAAGACGCTCGTGGATCGTTCAGTGTTAAGTTGTTTTGAGGTTGTGAAGGAGGTTGGAATTTTGCTTTAGCATGCAAGGAATGCAGGAAGAAACAAAAAGTACACATTGTAAGCATATTTAAGTGAAATCTTTTAAATTTTTTTAGAAATTCATGAAAAATTTGTTGAAGATTAATTTCGAAATAACTTACATTCCTAATATATTCCTAATATGTTGACAACTTTTTTATGACATTATGACAGTATAAATTTGTGTTTAATTGGAAACGAGGCAGGAAATATTTTCAGCTTCCTGCGGCAGGATATTTCATTAGAAGAAGAAACGTCCGCTAAACGTTGATGCTATTAAGCATCCAGACCTCAAACTACACCAGCGTTGACGTAATACGAGAACGAAACACGAGGCAAGTTTAACGTTTAACGTGTTCAACGTTTAACCATTGTAAAACAACATTTTCTAACCTAAATTAAAGAGTAAACCGAGCATATAGGAAAAAATTTAAGTTTATTTTATAAAATATCAGCTAGTACGCGCGGAAATTTTTATAACAAATTATATAACTAATTATTTTGTTCACCTTTTGTTTTACACCCTTTAAGTTATATTTTTGCGATAAAAAATAGCCAATTTGCTTTTCCTTGATCAAAACTATCTCTATACCAAAATTTATTAAAATTGGTTGAGTGGTTTTTGCGTGAAAGCGTAACAAACACACATTTGCATTTATAATATTACATTATATATTTTAATCTAGTATAAGATGCTAACTTTTTTGGTTTCACTTTTATTGATTGATTTAAAAAGGATTTTAAATTGATTTGCTTGTTTTATTTTTCTAATGCAAAGTTGTGTGACTTTTCGGGCTTTTCACCACCTTTTTATACCTGTTTGATGGATGATCCTGTAAGTATAGTGATAAGAAGGATGCTTTCAAACAAATAAGTTTTTTACACGCCTCGTTATTCATTCCGTGCAAGCATATCGTTGAAAAATAAAGTGATGATTAAATTTTCTTCTCAATTCTTTAAGTTATAAACCAAAATATTAAGTTTTGTTATCAGTTAAAGTATAAAAAGAGTCTACCGTTACTTTAACGTTTAATTTTTGACCACTACTGGCAGTTTTTGTTGTTTTGTTGTTGTTTTTGTAACTTTACACCGCAGATTTCGTTTCGCAACCGCATTTTATTGTTGTTTGGCGCTTGTGGACGATCTTTTTCATCGCATCATTCGCATCGCTTTCCATTAGACGCCGCACGCCTACCAACATTTTCCATTTGCGCCCATTTGTATATCATTCATTCATTTGTACATTTCATCCGGCGCCGGTTTTTGTTTCAACCTGTGTGCAGTTGAAACACATTCCCACATTCACAACCCGCGCTAAAATTTAGTTGAAAATTGTTTCAATGCGATAACAAAGTTTTATTTTTTATTCAAATGCTAAATTTACGTATGAATTAAAAAATTATCCTTTGTGAATATTATTCGTAAATGTCGAAATCTTTATTTGTTTCGCAAATTACGCATTCAGAGTTTAGAGTTTAGAATTTACTTAAGTTTATTTCAGCATTTGGATTTCGGTATTTGCGTATATGCCGAAATTATCCAAACAATTATTATGCAAATATTGTGTCTCCATCTTGGTTCAATAAGGTTAAAGATGCGCTGCAGCGAAAGAGACGCACAGGTTAGAAATGAAGTACTAAAACTTGTTAGGAACTCTTCCACGGTTTCACCAACGTTCCAGCTTGAATTGGAACTCGGTGTGCAAATTCTTCCAACATTCCGACATCATTTCCACATCAACTTATTATGTAATGAAGGTTTTCAATTATGATCTTGTACCCACGCGTACAGTAAAATTTAAGTGACAATTATTATCCTCCAACTTCAACGCGAGTTAAATGAGACACAAATTTTAGTTGCGTCTAATGCGTATTAAAATTTACTTGCGAGATTTTTATTACTTTGTTTTGATACGAAATGTCGTGGACTAATATGCGCGAAACGAGCGGAAATTACACCCCGACGAAATGCAATTTGTCTTCGACTCATGTGTATTAAGCACGTGAGTGATTCAATAATACGCAATAATGAACGCTGAAGAAAATCACTCGGAGCAATCGTAGGCAATCAAGCTTGTGCAATTTGCCCTGCTTGGTAGGTATATGTCTTCAACTGTTTGTGTTTTGCGTAAAATGACAGGAATCGCAATCAACGCTTGAAATTACAAAGACCGGAAACACAAGCGCAGCCATTTTGGTTAATTAAAACTAGTTTGAATGACACGTAAATAAAGTTGCCTACATAAAATAAACTTAAACTAAAAATTTGTATTTTTGTTTTGAAATACAAGAAATTCGATGCAATGATTCTTTGGGAGTTACTCGTGCTAACAACAAATTTCAATTTGCAGTGTCATTTATTTTCGACACACTCACTGCACTACCTTCATTCTACTCGTAGTTGGGGACGTTTTTCGATTGCTATGTAAATTCGCATCAAGCCGTCGACAAGCCAACAAAAACTAAATAAAACCATCACACCACTCGACTACTAGTAACTGGATTCCATCATCATCAATATCACGCAAAAACAAAAATTGCATAACCTATAAAAACTTTGCGTAGTTGAAAATAACACAATCTGATTGAATTTTATAGTTTAATTCAGTATTGTATTGAAAATTTTAATCGATTTTATTTCTGTGAAACTGCACAATGCAATACAATGGAATTAATTAGAATTAGGTTTAAATTCGTTTTATAAAAATAGCGCGTACAACAAAATCGAAATTACTTCGCAAACAAATCAAACTTTCCCTACAAACAAGTTTGGAACTTGCACGAATGTCGTTGGTAAACTAACTATCGAATTCCAATATGGATGCCGCAAGGAGTGACAAGCTGACAAGAGATATTATAAATTTACGTCAGTGTTATGACTGTAATAACACATAACACAGGTGAAACTGATTGGAACATCACATTAAATTCTATTCACTACATCACACAAAGTATTCGTGATACAATAGCGAGAATTCCATACATTTACATCTATTATTCAAATTATTCGAAAATAATTTGAGGTTAAGTAAACTAAACTAACCAAAACTGACCTAAACTTATTAAGAAATTTTAATGAATTTATCTAAAATATATTGCAATATCTCTTTGGGTAAATCTTATTTAGCAGACGTTTGAAATTGTTGGTCGGCTGTTAAATTATTGTCAGATTAAACGATAAATTTTAAAATAATCCAATTAAAACTTCGGACGTCGGACAAGGGTGAACGTTATTTATGCGCGACGCCTAGTGGCATTGTCTGACAACGGATAGTTTCAATAATTCAATATTTATGAAAATCGCTGGCGTGCTGGCTGCGGCGGAGCGATTTAATGGATTAACGATGTACACCCCACGCGTCACATGCAAACAACAACTAATTCTGGTGTAAAGAGACAACAGACAACAAACCAGAAGGTCAATGTCACTAGGGTGTCGTGTTCTTTTAAAGTGAATTAGAATCAATACGTTACTATGTCAGAGATTAGGAGGTGTTTAGTTAAAAGTCAACAATAATAAAAGGGATATTTTAAAGCGACAGTGCCGCCACCTACATACTTTTATTTTGACTTGTATCTTGGGTAGTATAACCTCTGCGTAAAAATAAAAGTTTTTAGGTGGCGCTGATGTCGCTTCAATGCGCGTTCTGAACTTTTTTGACTTAAAATGTTTTTGTTTTTTCTTTTTATTCAAAATAAATAAAGCGTAGTTTGATATTAAAGCCTAATATGCTTCTTAATGTCCTAATTATAATCATTTGATTATTTTATTCCGTTTGTGTATTACTCCCTCGCCGCTTAGCATTGGATAAGAGCGACGATAATGAAAATGACCTGCATCAATGCCAA